GGGATGTGGTGGTAGCTTTTCGTTGTTTCCTGCTAACTCTTGTCCACAATCTAGCCTTTAAACAATCCAAATTGCTCAGAGTTTATTACTGCAGTTTGTACTTTGTGCCAGAAAAGCTGACATCTGTGCCCTGACTTTCCTCTTCTGTTTTCCTCCCAGAATAAAATCTCCTCCTCTTTGATTATTGCCTTCACTTCTCGTCTTTCTTCCCTTTCATGTTTGCTCAGGATTTTTTGAGAAACTCCACTGAACACTACTTTGAGAAGGCTAATGGCTTGTTTGTTCTTGTGAGCTCTCTCCCGCCCCTCCTCCTTTCTGCTGACACTCGGGGCTTTGATATGGAGCAAATGGGCATTTCAAGGCTTTCTTGCACTGCAACACATCAGGCACGGGGCTGTAGAATTTGGCAGAAGCTCCACTGTGCCAGTAGAACATCAAGAATGTGGCCCTGCCATGACAGATACTTTAGTGCAGTGGAGAGCAAACTGGGGCCCTTATTACACACTGTTGAAAATTGCAGATCTTCTGCATTACACTTTTCATGGTTTTAAAAGAAAATAAAGAGTAAAATAGGTGTGTTAATGCCTCTGTCAGTGTAACCTATCTAGGGTGCCTTAAAGCAAATCCCAATCTCACCTTCTCCCAATACTAGCTGGGAATATTTGGAATTGCAGTCCCAACAAATCTGGATGGAAGGCCAGTGTAGTCTACATCAGGTGTGGGCAAAATTTTGGGTGGTGCCTTACTGAAGGAAGGGACACATCATATGTGCGTGTGTCTATGTGCACCAGGGTCCAACCATTCAAGGTCACAGAGGAGCAAGATTTAATTTTCTCTCACCCCAGTGTTCAAGATAGTTCTTTCCCTGCTGCAAAGGAATCAGAGATCTGGATCAGAGATGTTAGGGATGGAGAGACTTTAAGCTTGTCCCTGTATTCCTCATAAGGCAGAGAAGATAATGGGGTTCCCCCCATCTGCATCATTTTGAACTGTACGAAGAAAAATCAGACACCTACAGTGAGTTTTCCCAGTGGATACCCATGGATCATTCTTGCTCTGAGACTGGATCCAAGTTTTCACTCCCATCTGTAGGGGGGTGGGGGGAAATGGTGAACCTTGCAGACAGAGCAATTCTTCTTTTTTTAGTTGCAAAATGGGAAGGGGAAAGGCAGATGCAATGGCAAAAATCTGGATTACATCTAAGAACAAGAGTCGGCTGGTAAAGGAAACTCAGCTGAAATCCACTTATTCTTGAGAGATATGGGTTAGTCAAATTTGCAAGACTTCTGGACCTGCCAAATGGCAGAGTATCAAGTGAAACTCATTCAGTGAATGGCAGTTTTCTGCTTACTCAGAACTTGGCTCATCATGCAAGCTCTGGGAGTCAGAGACCACTTTTTCATATTCCTACTGAGATTCCTACTGTTTGCTTTCCCAGAAATTTACACAAGTTTCATTCTGGCCAGAAATTTCACCAAGCAGTGCTTAAACACCTTAGTTGGGGGCTGATGTTGGTGGTGGGAAAATTGCCAGAGATTTTGCAATGGGCCAAACAGCATTTAAACATTATATTTGGAAAACAATTAAAATGAATTAAGCCACTTTGGAGAATTCTCAGCAAAACTTCCCCAAGCCTCCTTTCAACTAACTAAAATTTCACAACTTAAGTGAAATATAAGACATATGCTAATGGCTGATGGCATGGAACCCTTAACAATTCTTTCTTCAAAATAAGCTCTCATTGGTTATTTATTCTTGCCTTTATTGTTAATGATCACAACTGCTCCTGGTAGGACAATCTCCACCTTGGGCGCGTCTGTTCTCCTCATACAGAGCAGCCTCCCTCCCATTTGGCTACACTTTTTTTTTTTTACTTTAAAACACTGCCTTTTACCTCCCACACATCCAAAATATCTTGCTGTCAGATCCATTTCATGCACTGCACATATTATAACCTCTACATCCCAAGCAGTATTTGAAGATGGACTATTCCAATTTGAAATAAAACTAGACAAGTGATGACAGATGGCGTAATAGTGGAATTGAGATTTTAAAAAGAGGACAACAGATGGGGAATTTATAGAATTTTTGGAGAGGGTGACTTCAGGAAAGTGTGCTCATGCACGTATGTACACACACACAGACACACACACACAATCCCTACACTATGGACCCATTCTCCTTGCCAACCAGCTAATCAGCTATCAAGCAGAGAACAAACCTCTTCAATACTATTAACAGCAGGAAAACATCCATCTTGATAAAGAGGACTGGTGAGAGGCAAGCAGAGAAGAGATGTTTAACCCTGTCCTTTTCCCCAGTGAACTTTATCAAGATAGTTCTTTGTCCACTGCCATTACCTGCTGAGAAACAGCAATCTTGATCAAGATGGCTGGCTGCACCAGGGAACAGGCTCTAACTTTATCCTTCTCACCAGTGGCTCTTTATCAAATTTACCATTTCATCACTGCTAATAGCACCCAAGAAAGAGCTTTATGATAAGGATCCCTGGAGGGAAGGAGAGGCTGCATCTTCATTTTGTTCCACAATGATGCTTAGAAATCATGGGTTCATAGGTGTACAAATATGTTCATGAAAAATGAATGGGTTGAAGCTCCAGGTGGTTCCCCCAAACCAGAAACATTTCCCCCCCCCCTTTATCTAGACAGTAGTTTAAAGGTGGAGAACTGAACTCAGTCCTAGTGGTTGTCTATCAATGGAATGGTGGGGGAAAAGGAATCCTTCATTCTTTCCCCACAACTCCACCACTAATTCCTCCAGCCATGGCTCAGACAGAGGTTACACCACCTCCCAGATATGAAGAAGGTGTTGCCTTTCCCCATGTGCTACTTCCTGCTATCTCCTGAAGAGAAAGAAAAGCCAGCCAGGGAGACTCAAGGAAAGGCCTTACTTAAGGTCCAACAGGCTGCATAAATTGCACATCTTTTAGATGCCCACAAAGCTATCTTCTTATACCCTTATAAGAAGGGTAAGCACTGGCAAAGGGTAAGCACTAAGCATATTCTTGATCCTTTCCCAATTTGATACAATGCCAAATGAATGCAAAGTCCATCTACTCATAATTATTGTTATAGTTGTTTCCTCCTCCTCCTCCTCCCTCCTCCTCCTCCCTGGACTGTTCAAATTTGAGGCTGCAGGATCCTTAGGTATTTGTGCCTGTTTAATTCTCCTGCTCTGCATAATATTATGGACATTGGTCGTGTGGTGGTGATGGTAATGATGAAGATGATAGTGGTGATGGCCTGGAAGATTTCATAAATCCAAGCCTTTTCACGAACTCAGCCAATAGCTCCATTCACTAAAGCTGGTCAAACATACAGGCATTGCAGACAAAATAGTCTGCAAGGAAGATAAATGAAGGCCGCACGTTGTTTCTCTCAAGGATTTCTTGGTCTCCTCCCAGATGTACACAGCTCTTTTATAACTTTAATTGCCAAAATCATTATATAATGGGGTCATCATCTAGATCCCCTTTGGTCCAGGAACAAATAATATCCAAATGCATTCTCAGTTAAATTATGCAACCCACACAACTTGGGAAAGGCTAAGCCTTCAAAGTTGCTGTCAAAGCTATCAGACAAATTAAGGACATAAACTCACTACAAACCTAGATATTTTAATACTATTTTTAAAAATGTTGCGGCTTCTCCTAAAGGATCCTGAGAACTGTATTTTGGTGAGAGTGCAATAACAACTTCATTAAGGAATCTCACCTCCACACCCCACTTCTTAGATATGCAGTGAATATGATTCCCTAGAGAGAGGGACAAATTGTTAAATACGTGTTTATGTCTGCAGTGTAGATATAAAGATAAAAACTGTCTGGGGTCAAGCTTAGTTCCTGGTGACTTCATGGACCCCAACCCCTAACATTTCGTGGTGATCTCCCATCCAGTTACTAATCTAATCCAACTGTGCTTAACTTTTTGGAGATCAGCCAAATGAATTAGGTGCTGCAACTTGTTAT